CTGTAACTTCTCCAGTCTTTTGGGGAGATGAAAGCATACAAGGAACGAATGTACAGCCACACTCATTTTGCTTTCTCAGCAAAATCAAGGGCAAATTTTTGCTTTCTCGGAGAAATAAAGGGTAAAATTTACTTTAGCACTCTTGGATATGTTCTCATGAGGATTATGACCATCAGAAAATGCACTGGATAATAGTTTTCATTACTTCGGCTTAGAGTACATTCATAGCCCAACCATGGGAAAATAAGGGACACATTACCCAGAAGGAGATTTTCAGATGAGACTGGTTTGGACTTGTACGATTATGACCATGATGCGGGGAGTGCTAAACTGTAGACCATGCTTGAGGATATTTATGGAAACCTATTCTCCTCTGAGGGGTTATCTATAGCTTGTTATATTTGCAGGAGCAGCAGTGTGAGAACAGAGCAGGCAACATTTTGAGAGAGAAGAATTCAGTATAGCATTTAGGACAGGCATATGCAAACTCAGCCTGCCAGCTGGTTTGGGACTACAACTCCCATGATCCCTAGCTAACAGGACCAGTGGTCAGGGATAGTGGGAATTGTAGTCCCAAAACATTTGGAGGGCTTCTGGTAGTGGCACCCACCCTGCCTTAGGAGCTCACTGCATTGGTGCAAGCATTTCTGCCTGTCTGTTGGAATGATCGCCCCTCTCCTACTCTCACATGCTTGTCTGGGGATTCTCCTGACACCCCCAAGCCTGGGTTGTGGGGGCACATGGGGGAAAGAAACCGAGGAAGCCCTGTTGAGCTAGCAGAAGTCCTGACACAGGCTTCCGCTGGCGGTTGAATGTGGCTCAGTGTTTGAAGAGGAAGCTCCAAGACTTGTAGTTTGAGAGAGTGAGAGATTTGGAGGGCCTTACTTGGTAGTGCACCCACCCTGCCCTCCCACAGATGTCAAAGGGAACAACAACTACCAGACTTTTTAGAAGACATCTGAAGGCAGCCCTGTTTAGGGAAGCTTTTAATGCTTGATACATTACTGTATTTTAAGATTTTGTTGGAAGATGCCCAGAGTGGCTGGGGAAGCCCTGCCAGATGGGCGGGGTATAAATAATAAATTATTATTATTATTATTATTACTACTACTACTACTACTACTACTACTATTATATTACAGGGCCCAGTATGTATGAGCTCAGCTTCTGTATCTCTAGAATGTATAGAAGAATCTGCGCTAGATCTGAAGTGGGGTCTAAAGGACATTTGTCATCCATGCATGATTAATATACATACCGCCACACGGCTATAAGTGCAAATCGGGCTGCCAGAAACATAAGGCACTTCTCAAAGAGGCTGAAGGATACAAATCAATCGTTCGGTTTTTCAAAACAGAGGGAGTTTTGGGAGGGAGGGTAGAGAAAGTGACGGGGCTGTGCTGCAGGTTTTTGCTAGGTTTCTAGCTCTGTGCATAAGCAGAAAGCTTTGTTAAACAAGACAGTCACAATGGTGCACACCTAAACAATATGTTCAATTTAAATTCTATTCTCTTCCCTTACGCAATGAAAATATATGAATAGCAGCAGAAGTTGAAGTTGCCATCAGATAATTTGAAGTAATTCTGGGGTATCCTTTTTATGGAAGGCACAATTTTCAAATCAGACATTTTTTTGTGTCTCTTAGGCAATGTTCAAATGCCCTAAGCAGAGCTGAGTATTCCTGAGTATTATATTCTCCATGTTCTTTCTGCTGTTCTCCCATTTCCTCAGAAGTGACCTTTTGTTAGTGGAAGGAGAAGACATTAAGTAGCATTATGCCAATAGGTTATTATCAATACCTCCTTTAGTACTTTTCAGTGAACAGAGTTCTGTACAGTTACCTCTTTTGTCATGAATTTTAATAGGTGTATTTTATAAACACTGCTCAAAAATTTATGCCTACCTCTATAGCATTAGGAAACCACTTTACTGAACATTTTATTAACTGGGCAGTAATTCTGGACAAAATAGCACAGATTTTGTGTTTGCTGAACTGTCCCACTGGTGATCTTGGTGATATAACCAGGAAGCATTCAGAAGAGAAATAATTCTAGAGCTGTTTACATGTTACGTTTGTCATGAGATTCCATCCAAAAAGCTTCCCAATAAGAAATGATATGTGCCTTATATATAATGCTTTGGGAGTGCTTGCCTTGGTTGCTTTAAGACTGTCTTACAAACCATGGCTTAAGAGACTTACAAGTGAGCCTACTACTCACTCCCTTCTTCATTTAGTGCTTTACTTTTTGTGTGGCTCAAACCTTAGTTTGCTGTTGCACTCGAACGCAACAAACTGTGGTCTGATGAGAACAATGTTTACGCACAAAACATAGATTGCTGCAAGTTCAGATGGTGGCTTGTGGACCCTGATTTGTAAGTGAGCTTGCTTGTAAGTGAGCCTGTCTCAGTAGTTCAAGTACAATATCAAATGGCGGTTTGATCAAACTGGGAAGTTCTGAATCAAGCCATGTGCATAAAGGAAGAAGAGAGGAACACTTAAGCCTAGGGCTTGTTCCCAATCGTACTGGCTTGGAGGGCCGCCTACACACAGGTGCTGCTGTCAGCATTACATTATAATTCTCATTTTTCTTTGTGGACTCTGTGCAGTCCAACCTGGGCATCTGTGCAGAGCAACACTAAGGACTACTTGAAGAACTATGCTTGTAAGCAGCCAAGCTGTCTATATGCCATGTAAAGGTAAAGGTAAAGGGACCCCTGACCATTAGGTCCGGCCGTTGCTGACTCTGGGGTTGCAGCGCTCATCTTGCTTTATTGGCCGAGGGAGCCGGCGTACAGCTTCCGGGTCATGTGGCCAGCATGACTAAGCCGCTTCTGGCAAACCAGAGCAGCACACGGAAATGCCGTTTACCTTCCTGCCGGAGCGGTACCTATTTATCTACTTGCACTTTGACGTGCTTTCGAACTGCTAAGTGGGCAGGAGCAGGGACCAAGCAACGGGAGCTCACCCCGTCATGGGGATTCAAACCGCTGACCTTCTGATCGGCAAGTCCTTGGCTCTGTGGTTTAACCTACAGTGCCACCCGTGTCCCTCACAATGTGCGCTTCTCCCCATCGGGGAATTGAACCCTGGTCTCCTGCATGACAGGCGGGGATACTTACCACTATACTAACGAGGACTTTGTCATGTATATGGCCACAATTCCATCAGTGGCCGCTATAAATATCCAGCAGGGCCAGGGAGGACCGGGCAGATTGTGATGACTACAGATGAAGGTAGGAATCACTCACTAGAGGGAAGCTGCTTTTGGTGGAATCTCCATGACCGCACTCACAATCCATGGGCTATTGTCTCAAAAATAATGGATGAATTTTATGTGTGTCATAATTAACTAAATATATAAAATAAAAAATTGTCCAGTAGCACCTTAGAGACCAACTAAGTTTGTTCTTGGTATAAGCTTTCGTGTGCATGCACACTTCTTCAGATAATTAACTAAGTTCTACTCAAGAGTAGACCCATGAAAATTAATGGGCCCATGCCATGTCTCTTTATTTCAGTGGTTCTAACTTGTGGCAACTCTATACTTTGTCTTTAATGTGCCTCAGGGATCTAACCTAGAACTATTCTTTTAATTTAAGCATCTCAGCTGATACTGCTTTGACATTTTAAAGCACCATTTCCTTAAGGCTAATCTCCCCAGCCTGGTACCATTTCTGAAAAGTGCTAACTTTTTCCTAAGAAAGGCCTATGCTGTGCAACACACTTCTGGTCAGAGGGTTGTAAAATTCTTGTGGTATCTGCACAGTGTTAACGTACGAGAGTTATCCTTCCCTCGGGATTCATAAACAATATTGACAAATATATTGCATGGTGCATTTCTAAGAGTCATAAGTTGGGAAGTTTGAGAGGTTTAGATAAACATCTAAATTAAATTTATTAGCCATGCTGCAACAACAATCCTGTTTGTCACCATGATAATTTATTTGCATTGAATATTCCTGTCTCCCCCCCCCAAAAAAAAACCCCACAACAAACATAAAAAGATCTGGCTGTTTTGCACTCAAGCACTAGATGTGAAAGGTGTTGCAAATGCTACTTTGTTTTTTTTAATCCACAAAAATATTGTTGAACATTAGAAAGTTGTGAGCCTTAAGAAAACAAAAACCCAGATAAGTTCACAACTTTACTCCTAAAAAGCAACTCAGGGAGGTGGATTCTGACAGCCAGTTTTTCCACTCACTCGAACTTGGATTTCTGTCAAGGCATGAACCACTTTCCAATGGGTGCTTTTCAAATACGATTTATTCAGAGTAGGCTTATTACAGTTAACGATGAGCATGGCTAAGTTAGGTACATTAATTTCAGTGGGTCTACTCTGAGTAAACCTTAGACCACCCAATAAGTAAATACAGTGGTACCTCGGGTTACATACGCTTCAGGTTACATACGCTTCAGGTTACAGACTCCGCTAACCCAGAAATAGTGCTTCAGTTTAAGAACTTTCCTTCAGGATGAGAACAGAAATTGTGCTCCGGCGGCGCGGCAGCAGCAGGAGGCCCCATTAGCTAAAGTGGTACTTCAGGTTAAGAACAGTTTCAGGTTAAGTACGGACCTCCGGAATGAATTAAGTACTTAACCCGAGGTACCACTGTAATTAAATATTGGCAGTGACCTATCTGCCTCTTAACCGGCATACTATTCTCCACAGGAAGAATAACAATGCAATCCTTTACATGTCTATGCAGAAATAGAGCCTGTTTTGTTCAATGGGACTTACAATCAGGTAACTTGGTTTATTGGATTGCAAGACTGCTATGGTGCTAGTTTTAGGATCGGTCAGTTAGCGTAAATAACACCTGTAGCATATTGTATCTGCATATTTAAAGTTCATCTGTGAAAATTGATGCACTGTTAGAAGAATTGTTAGAATATGGAGCTGGGTGGTGTTCCAATCTTAATTCTTCTTCTTTTTTTAGGTTATTGCTGCTACCATATTCTAAACGATTATTCCGCTCTCTCTTTTCTTTTCCCTCAACAGTCCTGGTACCTGGGCTAGCTTGGTCCCTTTTCAAGTATCAAACAGGACACCAATCCTGCCGACAAGCGTCCAAAATTATGGGTTGAACCTAATTGGAGAACCTTTCCTTCAAGCAGAAACAAGCAATTGAGGGAGATTGAAACTGAACAAAATACTATAAAAGAAAGGAAGACGGGACAAATAAAAAAAGAAGAAGAAGAAGAAAGAAGAACCTGAAGAAAGAAGAAACATAGACCAGCAATTGCAGCACTTACAATCACTAATTCCCTTAAGGTTGAAACTGTAACGATGTTTAAAAAAAAAAAAAAAGGGTCGACGATATTTCACTGATGAGTAGAAAGATGTTCCTCCTAAGTAGCCTTTGTTCTATGAAATCCACTGGGAAATAGATGTTCTGTCTCTGACAATATATTTTAACTGACTTTCTAGATGCCTTAATATTTGCATGATAAGCTAGTTTATTGGTTTAGTATTCTTGTTGTTTACGCATGGGATCACTATTCCTAGTTAGCTCTCAAAACAAAGGCTAGGAGACATCCACCAGAGTTGCAGGAGAATTGGGGCCAGTGGGCCAGCTTTTCTCAGCACTCTTAATTTCTAAAAGTTTTTTTTCTCTCTCTAAGGAAAAAAAACCAAACAATTTAGCCTTTAATGATCAATCCAAATTTGTTTAACTTTGGCCCTTATAACCCAGCCTTTTCCTTCTGCGTTACCTAGTTTGAAATGTTCAGGAAGTCATTTAAACAAACAGGCATTTTATAGAATTGATGCCTCACTTTAGGTTTAAATAATGTGTTATCTTCTTGTATGACCGTAAAAACAAAAAAGAGAAAGACACGGAAAATAATTTCTCCCCCACTAAGGAAAACACTTAGAGGCAAGTGCAATTTTTAAAAAAAGTATATCTAAAGGGATCATTGTTATAAGTCCTTTAGCCCTTGGACTCTAAATTGAGGGGATTAAAAAAAACAAGAAGAATTTCAAAGGTATTTTGAACAAATCTATTTTCCCCTCAGTTTTGAAGGGGGGGCATTAAAAGGCATTAATTAAATCAAGACAAATCATGTACTTGAGAAAAAGAAATTGATTGAAACACAGCACTTATGTTGATTTTAGCTTCTGCCTCTTTGAGGTATTTTATTTATTTAAAGTTACTGGTTGCATCAAGAAGAATCCCTAGAGAATGGGAAAGGTTCTATAAAACCTTCATCACAGAGACGGGAGAGAGGTAAATTCAAATCACAGGGACAAAGCTTACAGTTTACAAACTGGGAACGCCAGGTTGTTGGGTTGGGTGGGGGGGGGGTGAAATATATTTTTTAAAAATGCACTCTTTTAGAAAGTATAATAACAGGGTGCTGAAATCTTTGCATGGTGCTCTCAGAAATTAGCCTTGTTCGACACATTTCTCATATTGACAGGAACGTGCATGGGCGGATACATTTTGCCTCTATGTCTCTATAAAAAAAAAATTAATTAAAACTACTTTATCCAGTAATCCTAATTTGCACGAAGTTATAATGTCCACATAACGTGCCTTGCCTTGAAATCTAAAAAAAAAAAGTGACATCACTACACTTGTTTTGCTGCATTTATTATCATTTTAAATCTTTACCATTTTTATGACAAAATATTTTGTACTCCAAGATGGGAAAACGAAAAAAAAAAAAATTGACATCATGGATTTTTTAAGCAGTTATAACTTTATCTCACATTTATAAAGCATATCATGGCTGTGTATAGTTGCCGCTTGAAAATTGTAATCGACCAGCAATATTTTCAGTATTTTGGTGTTTTTTCTATTAATCTTTCATGTTTTTCATCTTCCAATTAATATTGGGGGGAGGGGATTCAAATTTATACGAATTATGCAATACCAAGTTTTGCCTATGTACGTAGTGCTTTTTAGCTGTATTGGTTATTCTAGGTAAGTACACAGATTTAAAAGACAAAAGATTAATGTATGCTTTTTCGTTTGTTCGTTCGTTTGTTCGTTTGTTTTAATTGACCAAAGTGGGTACTGCTATTTTTGCAGTGTGATGAGGTCCTTTTGTGTACTGAGAGATGGGCAGGGGATTTTTTGTTTTTGTTTATACATACATATATCTATCTATTCTGGGTGGGTGGGAAGGATTTGTGAACAGTGTAGCTGTGAAGCAGTGCACCATTCGCCTGGTGAGGGCTACAAAGCGACTCTTCTGCCTACTGTGATAAAAAAAAATATCTCAACAAGGTGTCCTCTTTTTAACTTTCCACCTGGGGTGCAAGCTGAACTCATTTCTGGTTTTAAAATAACAGTGGTAAATAATGACGATGATAAATACTAATAATGGATTCCGTTGGAGGCAGACTTGACTTGAAGAAAAAAAACTCTCGATTTTTTTCCCAAGACCCACAGAGAGCAGCAGCCTGTTAAAATTTTTACAAAATATATTGCCCCATGCTATGGCATGAATAAAAGCATATTAGAGGTAGGAATCAGATAAACAATAACATACCAATAAAACCTTTTCCTTCTCCAAAGTCAGCTTATTACGCTATGTTTTGTATTGCACACAGATACCCAAGCACAAAATACAGAATCATACAGACTCCAACATTTCTCTGATGAAAATAAGGACTAATAATAATAATAATAATAATAGTATTATTTATACCCCACCCATCTGACTTGGTTGCCCCAGTCACTCTGGGCGGCTTTCAACATATATAAAAACATAATAAAACATGAATTAACTTCCCTATACAGGGCTTCCTTCAGATGTCTCCTAAAGGTTGTATAGCTGTTTATCTCCTTGGCTCGGGGTTTGCATAACTCCATACCCTCCCAATGTTTCTCCGATGGAAACAGGGACGTCCTAAGGAAAAGGGGGACATTCTGGGATCAAAACAGAAACCAGGACGGCTTCTGTAAATCCGGGGCTGTCCTTCGAAAATAGGGACCCTTGGAACTGTAACCTAGTGAAAGTCCTTCTGTTTGAGAGCTTGGTTATACATGACATCTTCTCATATTGATAGCAGTTGCTTCTGGCAGTGGTATACCTGGTAGGTATTCCCCAATAGGACTCTTTTCCCTTGGCGAAGGAGCCACTGCTGTTAAATTTGTGATATGGAACCCTCTTTTTGCATTATGTTCTTAGCACAGGCAGGCAAGGGGCAAACCAGTGCTTCTAAAGAGGCAAAACTGACTTCTTCCCATGCAGCTTGTCTAAAGGGACTCTAAGATTGGGCCCTGTTTCCCTGTATTCTACCGGGGGGGGGCGAGAGACATTAGCCCTGTGCAGATTGTAGTATTCTGCGTGTGACAGCTGATCAAGATGGCGCCAGCCTAGCCTAGCCTACTGTCCTCATTGCACATTATGCATCAAGAGGGGGCTGAGTAGTATGTGTCAAACTCTTCTCCCCTCGGCTCCCGGTAGAAAACTGGTATCTAGACAGGGCTAACGTGTGTGTTCTTCACAACTGACATGATATTTTGACATGTATTTTGTCCTTGGGTACTTATTATACCTGAATACCAAACATAATCTGAAAAGCTGCTCCAAGATGTACTGTATTTTTCTGTGTATAAGACTAGGTTTTTTCCCTTAAAAAATAATGTCCAAATTTTTGGGGCATCTTGTACACAGACAGATCTTCCCCCATTTTCTTAAATCGGATTCCCCCAAAATACATCTTATTCATGGGGGTGTCTTATAAACGGAAAAATACAGTATATACCCAAGACCCATGTTTTTTGATCTGCCATTGGCTTTGTACGGGCAGGCAATTTTATCTACTATAGTAAAATTACTAAGAAATGTTATCCATTTCGAAAAAGTTTCCCAACCTGTCTTTTTTCCAGAACTGACAGATACGTGCACACAGAGGATGAACACTATGACAGGGTGACATTTCCCTTCAGAATAGGAAGGAGAATAGTTTGGGAGAATATAACATTCTGCAACTGCAAAGCGCTCAGAGCCACAGTGAACCCTTTTGCTGCTCCTTGCAGGATATGCCTGTGAATAATAGTTTGTCACTTTCCCACTTCTTCACAGCAGCTTCCTTACGCTGCATCGGAAACCAGTGTAAAAATTGCCTTGAATCTAAAAGAAGCTGACTAAAGATAGCTCAGAAGTCCCACTTTACTTATGGGTTACCCATGTGGCTTTTTGGACCACATGCTACATTTCGACCAATTTGCCCATTAATCACCACCAATGGTGAATGTTGCACTTGCTGTGGTGTTCTCCCTTTCGGATTCTTTTTAAAATGGTGATGAACATGACAACAGCAGCTATTGAACATGGGCTTTTTCCAGAGTTATCCTGACTTCCAATTTTGAGGCAGCATCAGTTAGAACATTTTTAAAGAGAGTTCTGTCGGCAAAGACGAATGACAGTGGCAAAGCTGGTTTATTTTAAAAACAACAACACAATTTTTTAAAATGTAAGCTTCATATTTTTTTCTGAATCAAGAATTAATTCACTAAATATATAGCTATCGAAAATAACTGAAAAGTACAAGGTTTCCCTGAAATCCCTTAGGCTATGGCCCCTTAAAATAGGTCATTATTGTTTTCTTGGCTTATCAGTTAACAATGAGCAGGTATGGACCATGCAGGGCACTTCGTAAACCCAGAACAGTGAAGCTGACTGAAACATATACTTCAGACTTTAAAGTGCAATAATTTAATTAATTCTGATTTCCAGGGACTCAAATGAACTCCCGAACAATTGTTGCATTAATGAAACAAATTGATAACAATAGGGAAGATGATCTTATTTATAGAAGGCTAACTTGCTCTGCGAAAACAATATTTCCCCATTGAATTTTTTTCCGTATCCAGCCCCATCATTCCTAACAACACTTAATGTGCAAGTGTAGTAATCTCAGGGCTGTGATCTCTGTGGGTTTTTTTCTGCCTTCCTTTTTAACAATACAGCCGTACCTTGGTTTTCGAACAGCTTAGTTCTCGAACGTTTTGGCTCCCGAATGCCACAAACCCGGAAGTGACTATTCCGGTTTGCAAACTAGTTTTGGAAGCCGAGCGTACAACGGGGCTTCTGCGGCTTCTGGTTGGCTGTTGGAGCTTTCTGCAGCCAATCGGAAGCCGTGCTTTGGTTTCTGAATGTTTTGGAAGTCGAATTCCAGAACTTCTGGAACGGATTCCGTTCGACTTCCAAGGTACGACTGTACCCATCAAAAACATACTATCTATTCTTAAATTTCCTTAAAGCTGAGAATTCAATTGTTCAACGAAATGTCGCGAACTCAAATCTAGTCTGAGCCTCCTTCCTTCATCAGGAACTATGACTAAATCAAGTCACCCTGTTCTATGTGCACTGTTCTGCCTTTTATTCAGTTGCTTTGGAGCCCTGGCCCGTTGGCAGTGCCACTGAAGTGTGTTTTCCCCTAGAGTGACGTGAACGTTTGAGGCTTGACTAAGGGGTGGGGGAAAGGCAGCGAAGGAGACTGTACATAAAGACATGGCAAAATATTAAATATAGCAATATAGGTGTGTTCAGGTGGGCAGCTCCATTTAAAATATGTGAATGAACCTGTGAAGCTGCAGTTCGAGAAGAACGGAGAATCTTCTTAATGGACCCACCTACCTTGTAGACAGTAATTTGTACACTGTATAGTTTTGTTAAGATTTTCTTTCTTTTTTTAAAGCACCCTCGTTTGTAAAGCTAATTTTTAGCAATTATAATGGAAATGTGTGCCATTTCCGCTTTTAAAGTAAACAAGAATATTCCTTGTTTGGAAGCTGGACTTGAGTTAAAACTCTCCAGCTTCTTAATTTATGTATTAAAACGGGAAAAAAATAAAATAAAGAAATCTGTCCATGTTAGGAGATATTTCGCTATGCTTGAAAAGCATAAGCTACTAATCCTTTTAAAAGAAATTGTAAATGGAGAAAAGTTATATTTTATGAAGGTTATTTTGTTGTATTTAGTATTGGAAAAGTTGGGTTTTGGAGCATTTCAGAATGTTGGAAGCACCACTGTCTTTTTTTTTTAATTTTTATTAGTATATATGGCCTTTAGCAAAAGTTTTTGTGATTGTTACATGATGGTATTTAAAGAGTAGGTTCACAGAGCATTCAGGACAGACAGAAAACTAAGACAGTACTTATGTCTCACATAGCTGTGTCCTCAGGGAGCAGAAGTTTGGATTTGCAACTAGGACATTCGTAAGGACTTAAATGGATGAGATTGCACAAGAACAGACTGAGCTTTGTCAGCAGAGTTTGTGTCCTGTCCCTAAAAAAAACCCCTCTAAATTTTGTGTACTGTGTGAGATGGCAAAGGCTGCAGAGAGCTATCCCGTATTCGATGTACAGTATTGACTTTTTAAAAGAAACGACTCTTACAACATTGCTGGCAGTTAATGCCTTAAAAAAGCATGACATTGAATATAGTTTACATGTTCCTTTCAAGGTCTTTTGTTAACATTTACCAGCTGCATGCTTCCTAGGCTCTTTATTTTTTATTGGGTTTCTATAGAAAATGCTTACAAATGAATAAATAAATGAAACAAAATACAATGCAGGCTAATCACGTTGAACAGTGAAAGCTCATAATTGAATGTCCTCTATGCCGAAGGAGCTGAAACCTGCCTCCTTCTTATTTGCACTTTCTGATAGTCCCCCCTGTTTTTTTTTCTCTATTTCCTCAAAATTGTGTGGGTGTGCTGGAGCACCGCAGTTGGAGGACAACATGGACCACTGGGTTTGCCCTTTGACCCTGCACAATGACCTTTGCATCAGCCAAACTTATTGCCATGACAACTCTTGTACTGTTTCCATGCCACAGCTCTAATGGTCACATTTGTTAATAGTAAAAAGGGGACAAAGTAGGAGATGGTCAATTTATACATTATTTTTGTTGTTGTTATTGTTGTCGTTGCATTTTTTTTCCTCTTCTCCTCTTTCAATGGTTGTAAGTAGTTTTTTTTATATATATAATAAAAAGGGTTCCGTAGTTATTACTCTTAGGAATATCTGTGTGTTGAAATTCAAATGTATGTTGAATTTGTGAAAGGAGCTTCAGTGCCACTAGCAAATCCAAGCCTTTGACACTTCTATTGCATGATTCAATTCCAGGACAACAACGACAAAAAACCCCCGAAACAGAACAAGAACGTGGCCTCTGTAAATGGAAAACAAAATGTGAGCTAGTGACACTAAAGCTGGACTTTGTATTACTGTATTTTTGACAGAATGGTTTCGAAAAC